AACAAACAAGCATTATGGGAGCATTGCATGTGCTAAACTGAGTCAATTAAGGGCACTGGTATCATATATCCCCTTAAAACTTGAAGCAGAAAAAATCACATTAAATGTATTTGTCTCCAAGCTTTTCAGAAAAAAGTCCGGAAAACTTTTGAAATTTAGTTATATATTTACGTCCAATGACTGTACATGGGAGTTAACCGGGGATTTAACCTCGACTTGTAACTCGGGCAGGTAGACTGGTAAAGCAAAAATTTGCTGTGGTTTCAAAGTTCCTAAAGAGGTTCGTTCCTGAGCTTTTGAACATATATTAATTTTGTCTTGACCTCCAATAAGAAATTGTGCAAAAGGTTTTAGTCCTTACAATAAATTTTGATTCTACAATGCTGATTTAACTATATTTAATTAAGACCCCATTATTAAATTCCTTACTAGAACCATTTGTAGTGGAACTATATTTTGTGGTTGATTTTATTTTAGAAGAAATTGATCAATTCTTCTCTTTCGAAATATTTGCAGTATTGTTAAGGAGGGATTCTTGTCTGGTTTCTGACTAGATGAAATATTCAGTATATTTGCTCATATGTCTTATATATTTAGATGCAAGGAAATTTAAAAGATCATATTTTTCTTCCTCATAGTTGTACAATATAAAATAGAATAAAATGGTAAAATAAAAATAGAAATGGTAAACCGAGTTTGAAATCTAGCAGGGTTTATATTTTTGGTGGAACGGCGATGTATGAAAATATCTCCTTTTCTGCTTCTCAAAATTACTATAGAACAATGAATTTTGTTAAAATTTTTAAACAATCAAAGACTTTTAGAAAATTCAAAGGTAAGAAAAATTAATAATAATGAACATAAATTTTAAAATACTAATAATGAAAATAATAACATCATCAAAATCAAAAACCAATAAAAAGAATTATGTACCTCAGTGCCATCTACATGTGTGCCAAGTTATATTGAAATCAGATCAAAACTGTAGGAGGAGGAGCGTTTTGAAAGTATTTCAAAGACATTTCTATTTTTAGTAACTATGGAAACACTACTCATCGAAATCCGAAACCGATATACAGAATTATGTATTATAGTAAAGTCTACATGTATGGCACGTTATATTAAAATTAGACTAAAACTGTACGAGGAGAAGTGAATTGAAAATATTTCACAGAAATTTTTATTTATAGTAAAAATGGCAACTCCCTTCTTCGAAATCAAAAATCGATAAACAGAATTATGTATATAAATGAAGTTTGTGTGCTAAGTTAAATTGAAATCGGACATCGTTTATCGAAATCAAAAACAGACACACAGAATTATGTATCTTAGCGTAGTCCACTAGTGTGGCAGTTTCTATTGAAATCGGACCAAAGCTGAAGGAGGAGTAACATTTTCAAAAATTGATTACAGACGAAGGAATGGACAGACAGCTGGACGGACGACGGACACCTTACTATCGCATAAGCTTTTCTGGTCTCTGACCAGTAGAGCTAAAAATCAACATCACAGACTTCCACTTTTAATTTTCTTTTATGAAATATATAAAATAATTCTAACCGTTCTACTTAAGGAATGTCACTCGTCAGCTTTTTAGAAAAATTCAGTCAGAACCTTTAACTTTAAAACTATTTATTACAATTCAATTTTTACAACATATTTAAATTAAACAATGCAAATTATTCAACATTCAATAAAAAAACGCTTACAAATTCATAAGGAAGCAAGATTTATGAGGGACTATTTCTTGTGGTGGAAGGATATTTAGAAGAAAATTCTTTATATATACACTTTTGTTAAATTTAATATCTTGGAACTTTAGCCCCACATATTTTTACTTAAAGAATATTTTCCGTTATGATATGCTAGGGATATTAACTATTAGTCTCAATTTATATTTTTAAAACAAATTTTACACATTCCCTCAACAGACTTTGCCAAGAAATGAAGATATTTTAAAGAAGTCAAGATAAAAAGTTTCTTACGCTACATAGAACTTCTCCATTTTTTCTCATATTCTTTAGCAATGCATATTAATTCTTCAGCCCTTTGGCGTATGAAAATATTTATCGGTACTACTTATCCATATATCCTAGTTGAGCCGTTTTTTGCTTGAAAATCGCACATTTTTACCCATATCTCAAAATTTACATCACTGACCCCAAATTTTTCGTTCATTATTTTAAACAACACATACTTCCAACCGATCAGCACTTAAGTCTTAAAAAGTTTGATACAAGAAAATATTTTATTGTCTATTTAGATTTTTTATACCTCAAATGTGATACTTTTTAGTGCAAATATGTCACACTATAGTTTATGCGCATTAATTTTCATGATTTGTTCAGTGATAAATATTATTCAGACTATTTTACGTAAAATAAGATTATATTTATTGCCATAATTACATCTGATAAAATATGATAAAGATTAAAGTGATTAACCAAAGCGTTACAATTTAAGTGCAAAAAGGTCAACTTAATTTTACCGTAGCCCAGTAAGATGCACATTGACACCCCACCCCACCCCCCCATTTTCTTTGCAATTTTGAGTCATGCTATATGAATACTTATCTAAAATGTACTTCTCAAAAAATCCTTGATATAACAATTTTCACGAGTGACATACCTTAAATTCAGAAAAAATGTCAGTACTTTGAAATTATTTTATTGATTGTTAATAATGATTTTTTTTAGTTCAGAAAGGTCAAATAATTGAGTATGCGAAGTAATTCGAACGTTTTTTGTATCACAAATTTTAATGTGACTATTCAAGATGAAAAAAGACTCTGTTTATTCCCATAATTGATTTATGTGTTAGATGTAATTACAGTGCAAAAAGGTCATATTAAATGCTTCGTAGCGCCAAGAGAAGTGCATTGACTCCCACTTTTTGTTTTTGTTTTTAATGAAGCTTTGTGTGGAGATTCTAAAAATATACCTGATAAAAAATTCTCAATACGTTTGATAACAGGATCCAACCTCCTTAAATATAATATTTAAATTTCCCCATTTACGTGCAATAATATCAATTGATATATGAACAAAATGTGAACATGATTAGCATCCGAACAAAAAGACTATATAATATCATCCCTAAGTTTTTATGCAATAAAAAAATTGTCTGGGAAAATTTAATAAGTTTTCTAAATTTAATACAATATTCCGCCAAAATCGTCAAAGAGGAGCAATAAGCTAACTTTACAGGTTACTCATCAAGGTTGACTGAATGTCATTGCTGGTCTTATACATATTCGTGTTCTGTCCAATCATATATCTCCTACTTTCCATGTGGTCGAGGACGTGCCTCAAATGAAGGCAGTTATATTTAAAACCCCTTTAATATTTATTAAAAAATTAATTGTGTCATTTACAGCTATGAAAATTGTTTTTCTCTTATATATTTTATCTGTTTACTAAATAATCTGATTGCTTACCCCGGGATCGTTGTGCGCTTTTTGCATGTGAGAGATTTTAAACACAGGGAAACAATTCCTTTTATCCCCTGGTCTTGACCAGATTGACCCAAGTTAGTTAGGTTAATAATGTTCCTTTATTTCTCAAAATGACGCTCAAGTTTGGATCAACTCTTCCAAGGATTTACTCCCTTCCTGTCCATAGCGCATCACAGGTTATGGGGAGTGGCCCTGTTACCCAACCTCTATAAATGCAACCAGAAAAAGACAAAATCCAGCAGACCACTCTTTATTAATTTGATATTTACAATTACAAAGGATAAACAATACACAATATAATAAACATTACTATTAAATTAGAAAATATATTTACCTGTAAATAAATAGAGCCATCTGAACATATTACCCCGTTTACAAAATTCGCAGAAGTCTACAAAAATATCTTTACTGTATAAATGCAACCAAAAAGAGACACAATCCAGCAGACCACCAGCTAGATGTGTCTCACTGAATTACATTTATACCCCTTTATGCCCTGCATATTTGATTATTTCTTCAAAATTTGCACTAATGACTTTTAATCTTGCTCTGAATTTCAATTGACATGATCCGTCCTCAAACCCTTTTTAAAATCTTTAATTTCACTTTAAAAGTCATGTTGGACCTTTCGCATAATCTTGATTTTTTTATTCCCTGTAGATAATTTATAAGGATGCACACCTCTGATCCCTTGCATCAACCTCTTTGATTGGTTACACCCTTATTCTTGATCTAACCAGCATCTTATAAACAAGTTCTTAATCTACATAGTAAATCTCATGGAGCTTTTTATTAGCGCTGAAAAGTTCATCCTGCAATCATACCCAGCATCTTTTTTCTTCTATGAATGAAATATATGGAGATAACGAACAGTATTCAAGCTCAAAAGTCCATTAATCAATACAAAATAGGAGCAGAGCAAACACGGACCTCCAAACATCAGAGGTGGGATCAGGTGCCATGGAGGAGTGAGCATCTTCTGCCGACCGGTCACACCCGCCGTGTGCTCCTTGTCATTATCGGGAAATAACGGAAAAATCCGTCGACAATTCAGTGTGTAAATAATGGCCTAACAATTAGTGTGAAAAACGTCAGTCAGCATTTGACTCAATGATAAATTGTATTTGCTGACAAGGTCATTGTATCGACCATAGAACTTATGAAATTATGACTTTAAACGAGACAGCTGATATTCTTGTTTCATTAACTTATTTGTCAATAATTTACCTCGTTTTAGAAATTGTACATACGTAGAGCATGCTCTTGCGTATCGAATCAACTGAGAGATATATACCCCGTATGCAGGTGATGAAGGTATATTGCTGCATAAGTAAGGGAAGTTGATGTTTGAAAAGTTAAAGTCATCACGTTTATCATAAAGCTTGGTTGTTAGATTACCATTTACGTCTTTTTCAAGTAAAATATCCAAATATGAAACAGATGTGTCCGACTCTGTGGTATCTTTTATCTCAAGTTCACAAGGATATATCGTATCGACATGAGAATGGAAATGGCCATTGTTAATTGACAATACGTCGTCGATATATCTAAATGTCGAGTTGAAGGCCACAGCAAGTGTTTTCTTCTTTTCACGTACAAGATTTTGGACAAATTCTGCTTCATATGAATACAAAAAAAGGTCTGCTAATAACGGGGCGCAATTGGTACCCATGGGAATTCCAATAGATTGTTGGAAGACCTGGTCTCCAAAATCCACATAGATATTGTCAATCAGAAACTCAAGCATCTTTTTAATGTCAACTTCAGAGTACTTGTGTGAACAATCAGAATGTTTTTTAACAAAATAATTTTGCAAATGACCAATGACAAGGTAAGTATATTTACGAGTTCCATTTTTATTGAAAAAGCACCTGTCAATGATATCAAAAAGCCGGGACTTTAATTTATCGTGGGGAATGGTTGTGTACAAAGTTGAAAAGTCGTAAGTTTTTAAGCTGTTGATGTTGGTAAAATCTTGTGATTTCAAATTTTCCAAAAGTTCCTTGGAATTTTTAAGTATTCACATCTGATTTACACCACTTCTCGAATATATTGTTGCACAGTACTCTTGAAGTTATTTCATCCTGCGTGATCGGCTTAACTTAAATACATTTGCTACTTTATTCCCGAGCTTTATAAATTCCATAATTTTCTAATTGTATGCAATTTTTGTTATGATATAATCCTCATTCGATCGAACTGCCTTTAAAAGAAGCTGTATTTGAATAATTTTTTTTTCCAATTAAAAATTAAAAGGAAATCTTAACATAAGATCCACTGTTCGAAAGTTAGGAATAAACAACTCAAATGCATGGGTGCAGTTTGTTGAAAACATAGGAGTATGTCTGCTGATAATGACACTTTGTAATTTTCTACTTCGAGTAAACTGTACCTCTACATCAGATATCCATATTATATTTTATCAACAGCCTCGTTATAATGAGAGAGTTCTTCGTAAGTGTTTGGTTTTTCAAGGACTTCTAGGTCTGCATACTCAGATCCTTCCCTAATTTGAAAGAAAACATATAAAAGATATACACAGAATTTTAAAAATAATAAGCATGAAGTCAATTGAAAGTAACAAAATATTGTTTAGAATAAAATAAAATCAAGCCAGAGAGGATATTAAAAACTACGAACCCTCCTCCAATAGTTGGTTTTCCTGAAAAAAATAAATATGATAATCTGTAATTGTTATTGTCAGTCATCTAATCTCAAATATCATTCGTATAAATTGACATTAATTACAGGAGTAAAAACCGAAGACGTCATAATAAAGTTACAAAGTTATATATATCCTTTAGATATACGATTTAGTATTTCAGTCATAAAATTAAGAGAAATTATGCTTCATAAGATTTAAAGTTTTTTCTGTGAATGAGAAATACTTCGACGTTTTACATGTTTTGAATACAAATTGTTTGCTCGTGTATTGCAAAGAAATTCAAAATCATTCATATTACAGGAAACAGTTTATTGCTTGTTTCAAATATAGATATATAAAAAGGGCACTGCAAAATGCAAAGCGAAGCATCCCCTCGCAAAAGAGCATACCGATCCTGACATGAATTATTTCTTGCATAACTTCCGTTACGAACGCACTCACTCACTTACACCCCCCCCCCCCACACACACACAAGCACACATTAGTGCGTTTCTATATAACTCCCCTAAAAACAATCTAAATTTCCGTGAAAAAAATTGTGGGCCCATCGTGGGTCCATCCTAGCCCCAAGTGGTCATGATATAGTCAAACTTAAATGTACACTTTAAACCCAACTACATTGGGATTCTGGATATCAACGTGACTACAGTGGCAAATGTAAATCTGCACTTTAATGAGACGCTTGTATAATAATGTGAGTGTTTTTGACATTTCTGTTTTGAAAATTTATTTCAAAGATTATTTCTTTCCTATTTATTCCATGTAAATATTTAAATATTATCGCGGGCCGAACTAAACCCAAAGGCCATGGTTTGAATATATGTTAATCGGTGCTATCTAAATAGTGTTCAATCGACTCTAAAAAGGCACGGAAATCCAAGAATCGGACATTTTATGGTACAAGAAAAAGTAATAACAAGTATTCTGTGCATGCCTAATATTTATTAGGTCTTGAGATGGTTCTTTATGTTTTTTTTTTTTTGTTTTTGTTTTTTTTTTTTTTTTTTGGCGGGAGGTACTATGTTATGTAAACGAATAGAATAGAATTTTTTTTTCTATGGAAAAGAATCTATCTAGTGAAACTCATCATATCAAAACATTATGGTTTTAAAATGATGTAAAGTTTATAGGGTCTTGAGGTGATTATTTTTGCCTGCATCTATTATTGATTTATGTAAACAAGTACAGTAAAAAAAAATCGGGAGGGGGGCACTTGAGAAAAAATATTGTATGTGGCATTATTTTTCTATGGAAAAAATTTATCTAGTAGAAACTTGTTATATAAAAAAATATAGTTAAAAATTTACGTAAATCCTGTTGGAAACCTCTTTTAGAAACCTTTATCCCACGAGTATCAACTTTAAAGTTTGAACACGGCATCATTAAATGTAATTGACTTAATACCTTGTTGTTTTGAAGCTTTGAAGTTTTGAATCTCATCCAACTTTAAGTTCTAGTACAATGTAAGTTGATTTATTTTATTTGAATATCAAATCAGCAGCCTTTTTTCCACTTCTGCAGAAAGCGCTTACAGTTGAATTGATTATTCGAGTCTTGTGAATCTTGTTTTTTTTTTCATTGGATATATATATATATATATATATATATATATATATATATATATATCCAGATACAAATTATGTAACTTCCGTCAGGCACACAGAGACAACCTAACCAACTCACTCACAAGTGCATTACTATGCGTATATATCCCATTCAACTCTGTAGCGAGGGGATAAAATTATTTTTAAAATTTTTACTTCTTCTTTTCTTGGCAATTAATTCATGCATGAAAATTTGGGAAGACTGAGATTACCTTAAAGCCAATATTATATTCTTTCCCAAATGTTTATTTAGAAAAGATACATATGATAAATAAGGTATGGTTAAAGAAAAAAATGACATTGAGCTTTATTGGCCCTAAAAGCAATCAGACCTGCACCTTCAAATGCATTCACTTTCTTCCTCTTTGTCTTTAGAACGTTTAGCTATAAAACAGAAATAAAGAAAGTCCATAAAGTACATCAGTACGCCTAATTATATGAATTGTAAAAAAAAAAAATACGCAACACCAGACAATATTCTAATTAAATTTCATATTGAATCATATATTTGAGGCTCACCTTTTCAGTCTTTGCTAAAGAAAAAAAATAAATATTTTATCTGGGTATTGATTCAGTATCAAATAATATCAAATTAAAAGTATATATTTTACATGTTATTTTATTAGTTAATTCAAATATCTTAGAAATACAATAAATGTTGGCAATTTTTTTCTTTCAATGTCATGCAAGTTCGGTTTGTATTTAATCTATTCTTATTGAGTAAAATTCAACGATTTGACACAATTACGCAATTGATATCTTATTTTTAATTTTTACTAAAGGTATCTTTTGTAGGTATTGATGATGACTTTAAAGAAGGTAAACCGATATTTTTTGAAGGATAGCTCAGTAATCTTTAGTGTAAAATGCATGTTATTTCCAGCCCTTTATTTGCTTACCTTGGTTCCTCTTCCATATGACTAAGTTTGCAATACTTCCGGTTAGAACAACGACTAATGAGATCACAATACTTATTATGATACTGGTGGTATTCGTGTCGCAATTGTTACACGTAGTTCTGCTCAGAACGGCTTCTTTAAATGAAAATTTGGAATGAAATTTTGGCGGCTTATTGGATACTTAATATATATTGCTAAACTTTCCTAAAATTTCTTAATCAATATTCTCAGAAACAAATTATATATGAAATGCATGAGAGTGATTTCCTGATTTTAACGTTATCATAGCAAAAAATTTACAACGTCTGTTTCTTCAGACAAAATACACTTAGGACTTAGAAATTAAACAGTTACAGAACACCTTCATTACAAAGATGTCCCTGTAGTCCCTCTATACAGCCATGGTAACATACACCGGTGATGGAGTCACATGTTTTATTTCCTCCACAATAAGCTTTACAGTATTCCTGGCAGTTTTTACCAAAGTATCCAACAGAACACTCTAGAAAAGGAAGAGATTGATTTATCTAAGATAGACTTTTCAAAAACAGAATGGAACAATGCATTCCTTTTCCGCAGAACGTGTGTAGATTTCTAGGTATAATTTTCAGTGATGTTATCAATAAATATTCAATCATTAAAACACTTTAGCTTTTTTACTTAACTAAAAATTCATCTGAATAATTTTCTTTCCTAAATATTGAAATAAGCTCATTATTTCAATGTTAATCAAATGCGCATTTTTAGAGGGCAAACAATAAAAAGATGATTTGTACGATGAATTTCGAACCACTCGATTTCTTTTCTTCAGTGATATAAATTCTTTCTTTCTTTGTTCACAAGAAAAAAAAATATTGCCTAATTGTAAGGTTTATCACATATATCTAAGAACCCTTTTTAATTAAAAAATTTTTTTAGCAATAAGTATTAAATTTCTTGAATTGTTCGGTGTATAATGAAAACATAAATAAATCTGTGTTAGATAATTTTCAAAAATTACTACCTACCTATTAACATACCCACTTTGAAGAATATGAGTCAGAGAACATCAATAAAAAAAATATGATGGCTGGACAGAGAAATAGAGATTTTTTTATCCAATTTAGAAGAACAAAAGAATATCAATTCTAGTGCGATGAGTCGCAAACTGATCCAGTTAAATATAGAGAACGTACCACCGTATTATATGGTAAATCAAATTATCGAAGCTTTAGCCTTAATGAATTAAACATCGAAATTTCTGTCATTCAAGAATATCAATCTGTTATTATTCCGACTGAATTTGAATATTTTGACTTGCCATTAAAATGCTTTAATATATAAGGGGTTTTCCCCAGGAGACGAAAAGTAAGATTATAAAAGAGCAGATACCTGTCAAACATGTCGCCCCATAGAATCCAGCAGAACATCCCTCTATACATGTACCGTTAACATGATGACAAAGTGATCCATTAAGACAGTGACCACAGATCTGACTGCAGTTAATGCCGTACATTCCACCATTGCATTCTTAAAAAATTATCAACAATAATCATTAACTCTTAAAGGTGCTTAGACACAGATTTGAAGTTAATATTTTCTCAAATTTCTGTATAATATCATGACTTATATATTGCAATAGCATTTCACACGAAAATATAATTAAAAACTTATTTTATCTGGAAATTATTGGAAATATGAATTCCTGGACGCGTTTGATTAACACATCCTTGCACTTTCGCAAATTTTATCTTTATCCTTAATATTTAAGAAAAGAACCGATCTTGTTGTGTATTAATGAAAAACATTACATCTATAATCCAGAAAATTCAGAGTAGAAATGTGCGAAAGTAAACCCCCTCTATAATATCGTCAACCCGTGCTCAGTGTTGTGTACAGTTTAACAAATTGAATACACCCGTGAAACGTAAACTGTTTTTGTAAACAGGGCACGAGCTCTGTTATTGTTAATGTTTACGATTCACCGGGTGTGTTCAATTGTTAAAGTCTGCACACACCACTGAGCACGGACTGACAATACTGTGAGTGGGTTTTGCTTTCGAACATTTCTACTCTGAATTTTCTGGATTATAGTTTTAATTTTTTTCATTAATACACAACAAAATTGCCACTTTTCTTAAGTATTAAGAATACAATTAAAATTTGTGAAAGTGCAAGGATGTGTCAATCAAACGTGTTCAGAAATTTGAAGTTTCAATAACTTCGAGATGAAAAAAGATTTTTATTATATTTTAGTATGAAATGCTATAGCAACATATAAGTCATGAACTTTTACAGAAAATTTGAGAAAATATTAACTTCAAATCTGTGTCCAAGCACCTTTAAGTTTAGGTGAGATTACTTCCAGTATATTGTTAATATTCATACAAAAGTCATTTAGAGCCAGTAGAAAATTAATACTTTTTCTTGTAAAGGTGGTCCTGCAGAAAAATATGTTACAAAACATTCTAGTGAATTCATTTACCGATTATTCTTGCTAAAATTGTAAGTGTACAATTTTAAATTTCACAGTCCGATATTACAATTTCTCTAATATTGTAAGTAATATCAGACTGTCCCAGTACTGATATCAATCAAAATTGGATTTGTACTTCAACAAAAGTAATATAGAAGATTTATAACTTACAGCAAAGTTAAAATTGTTATGTACAGTGCTTATTTTGTAAAATGAACTATATCAAATAAAATGTACTTTATCTTATTGATTTGGAAAATATAAAATAAAGCCTTAAGTTCAATACATATCTTACACCTTAATATGTACTTCTCTCCGAGGATAGCATAAAGATATTTTGATAGGTCTCTTGGAACCAAACCAAAAATTATGGAACTTTCTCTACTAAAGATAAAACAATGTTTTATTTCCCTCTGGATATGTATTAGCCTACATTTCCAGCTCTTTATTCATCTTGTATACATCCATTTATGTTTGCAACAGAAAAATGTGGCCTCTTCGGCTCATTTATGTCATTTACCTGCATTACATAGATCTTTACTAAAATACAGATAAGATTAGACAAAAGGATATTGGTTCCAAACTAATTACCATAGAAGCATTAGGAATACTATAACGTTACTGAATTTATAATGATGAATGTTGTCATGAATTGGTTGTGCAAATGCTTGAGAATGCGAGTTCAATACCTCGAGCATTTGTAAAGCCAACGAGTGCCAATAATCATCAACATAAGCCCACTAACTCTTTTATTATACAGCTCAAACACACATACCCATTAATTGATAACAAATATTTAAATTAAATAACTCAAAATTAATAAGAAATTTTGAATATAGGTATTCACATTAAAACTTTGGAATATTAGTGCCTGTCCTGGAATTGTTCAATGAAATATGTGGAGATAACGAACAGTATTCGAGCTCAAAAGTCCATTAAACATTACAAAATAGGAGCAGAGCAAACACGGACCTCTATATGGAATATCATGGACTATCAATATCGCATCATTCAAGCAACTTTACCAAACGTTATAAATTGCTTATTCAGATTTTATCGAGTTTTAAAGATACTAAATTATTAGGAAATAATTTAAGTTTTTGTGAAAATAGACACATCTTTCCTGGCTACCACTACCCATCAGAAAGATGACCAGACGATATTTTTTTTTTGTTACAAAGGGGCGTTCGATATTGAACGCTCAAATTCAGAATGCTTTGGGGCATACTCGTAGATGTATTGCATACTCAGCGTTCAATAAAACGCCAAGATATTAAACGCTAAAATTCTCTTGACTTTTAGTAGTTTTTTTTTATTATTGACTATTTATTAGCTATATGATAAAATTCACATATTTATTTTCAACAAGTTTTAGTGTAACTTACTCTGTGTGCATTAGGAGGACAGTCTGTATACTTTCTCCATATGATTTAGCTCTACCTTATTTCGGTATGAAAAATATCTTCCCCTACATTTTCTCTGTGACTTACTCTGTGTACATCTTGGTTTCTTCCATCCGGGCTTACAACTTTCCATACACTCTCCTGTAAACCTGTCACATCTATTTGTAATGAAGCAATTTTCACTGCATCTTTGTCCGCAATTCTTCCCATAAAACCCAACAGGACATTCTATGCAGAATTAAAAAGTAAAATTATAAGACTTTTAAAATTGTTTATACATGAAAATATATTATGAAAATGGTAATTGATGTGAATTCAAGCTTCATCAACGTGTTCTTCTAGTCATATTTGTATTTTTTCGTTATGTATATTAATATCCTTATAAGGGATATATTCAAATATGGTCATGTGTAATTTTTGTACATATTTGGTTAATTTGTTTGGCATTCTAATAAATGCCCATTTTCGACAAATAATTTGTTGTTATATTTGCAAAAAACAGAGAAGAGTAGACTCATGGATAGAGAAAATAAATTATATTGAGGGAAGTTGAAGACGATGGTATAAATGTAACGTTGATAAAGTATATACTATAAAATAATGTACATTACACGATACTGACAATGTCA